CAAGAGTGTCCTACAAGAGTGTCCCACAAGAGTGTCCTACAAGACTGTCCCACAACAGTGTCCCACTAGAGTGTCTCACAATAGTGTCCTACAAGAGTGTCCTACAGGAGTATCCCACAAGAGTGTCCTACAAGAGTGTCCCACAAGAGTGTCCCACAAGAGTGTCCCACAAGAGTGTCCCACAAGAGTGTCCCACAAGAGTGTCCTACAAGAGTGACCCACAAGAGTGTCCTACAAGAGTGTCCTACAAGAGTGTCCCAGAAGAGTGTCCCACTAGAGTGTCTCACAAGAGTGTCCCTTAAGAGTGTCCTACAGGAGTATCCCACAAGAGTGTCCTACAAGAGTGTCCCACAAGAGTGTCCCGCAAGAGTGTCCCACAAGAGTGTCCCACAAGAGTGTTCCACAAGAGTGTCCTATAAGAGTGTCCCACAAGAGTGTCCCACAAGAGTGTCCCACAGAGTGTCCCACAAGAGTGTCCTACAAGAGTGTCCTACAAGAGTGTCCTACAACAGTGTCCCACAAGAGTGTCCCACAAGAGTGTCCAAAAAGAGTGTCCCACGAGAGTGTCCCACAAGAGTGTCCCACAAGAGTTTCCGACAAGAGTGTCCCACAAGAGTGTCCTACAACACTCTCCCACAACAGTGTCCCACTAGAGTGTTTCACAAGAGTTTCCTACAAGAGTGACCCACAAGAGTGTCCTTCCCAGAAGAGTGTCCCACAAGAGTGTCCTACAAGAGTGTCATTTGGACATATTAGTTTTTCGAACGTGTTTGCATTCGGGTTCGTGGGTTCCATCTTGTTTTTTCCTTCCCTATCCAATGAACCACCCCAACTGGATGGCGCTGGTGGAAACCCGGTTTGATTTTTTCCGGATTTCGGATGACCATGAGTTCTCCGGGTCGATCACCGAGTCGGTGTGGTGCCATTCGTTGTCCACTTTTTCAGGTGATTTTCCATGACGATTTTCATTTGTTTGGCGCGGTCATGGAATGGAGTCATGGGACGACCGTGACGACCCGTGAAACCACGCTGTGCCGAGTGAGTCGAGACGACCGTCCGACGGCCTAGGCCGGGCCGGCGGCGTCCCAGCCGGCTGGCCAGGCGGAACGCAAGTCCACCAGTCCGGGACTCAGATGTGGTTCCTGGTGTACCAGGAAGACCAAGTCTGAAGAGGATCACCAATCCACATTAGTAGGCATATGTAGGCCCTGTAAACATAATTACTATGCATAGTCTCTGCAAAAGTGCGCTCTCACATGGCTAGAAGGAAAGGACAGATACAATGATGGTGTACCACACTCGCGTTCTTTTTTCCGAATCCGGCTCTAACCATGCTTTAAAGGCTTCTCCTCGAGGCTTCTCCTCTCGCGCTCCTTCCCAGGTGCCCCTCCCGACCGGTCGGGCGACCGGTTGAGCGTCTCGACGGGGAATCGGGTGTCTTGGTGGTCTTCAAGATCCTCCCGGAGGCGGGCTACCGCTAACGGCTACGGCGGTCCCGCGCGGAGGGCGTGGGGCGTGGGGGGTCTCTTCCCGGATGATGTGGGGCTTCGATGTGCAGTTGAATGAGGTGAATCAGATTGGGTTTGGGTGTAAATACTCAAGTGTATGGCTTTGAAACTGCGCTCTGCCCGGATGCCGTGCAGGTCGCAGGCTCCACGGGTGTCGGTGGGCAAGAGCAACTTTCACGGCGCCAGCCGAGGGCTTCGGTTCTCGCAGCTGCTGAGGCGGGCAGGGCGGGGCGGCACGCCTTCACCGGGGCTGGGAGAGTCGAAGGTCGAGCTTGGTCGAGCTTGTCTTCCGGATGGTAAGGTCTATGAACCAAAAACATTGGGAAGGAGGCCCGTTTTGAACAAACATTATGGGGCAACAGCAACAGCTGGGCAGGCCTGTCACTGGGGTCCGTCACTGTGACGCCGTTGGGGTGGACCGTGGACCGTCCGCGCGACGAGGCGCGTGCAGCACGCAGCGCTCCGCGACTCGCCCCCACGGGCGGTGTCGGAGGGGATCTTCCGGCTGTCTTCGGTGGGGGCGCCTTAGTGGTGGGAGAGGTGAATGGGGGCGGTGATGGGAGATGAAGATGAGATGAGAGATGATGGGAGTTTTCAAGGGGAACTTTTGGGGAGAGTCGCGTTTTCTGCGACTTTGTTTCTGAAGGGTTTGGGGTCATGACGGTCATGTTGGGTGAAATCCCAGCCGCATCAGAGAACCCTTTTGGTTTTGGATTCAAACTACTTGTACCAGGTAGGTAGGGTAAAGTGAAGTCTTGCTTGTTTTGGAATAAGAACAACAACATAGGCAACATAGAGATCAGAACATACAAACAACAGCAGATAACAACCCACCATTTGTCCTCTTTCTTAATCGGGGAAGCGATATCGAGTTGGGAAGACCAGTGACCTCCTTCCTACTACGTAAGATACTGATCGCACACGCCAAATTTTTTGAACTTCATTTGCAGCCTATTCAGCGCAACTAGCAGTCACCAAGAACATTCCTTCTCTTCAACAGCCATCCTTCTCATCCTGAGGGCTCGCGCGCGTCCTTGCACAAGCCGACAAAGGACGGGTTTGGGATACCAGCGAAGTGCCCATGATGCACAGTTGAAGAACGATCTCAGAGGGTCTCAGAGGGAGTTCTCCAACTTGCAAGTTGAACCCCCTAGTGCAATCAGGTGTGTTTGACATTCTTGCTCCACAGGTTTGAGACATACTTACTTAGGGCAACAAGGGGTAATGGTCATACCATATGACCATTGGCATGGCCAACATAGGACATGAGCAGAGTCTTGAGTCATTTCCACAAAGCTCGAGGTTTGGGGAAGTTCCATCGTCAAACTTTGCGGGTGGATCTAGCTAAAAGGGCCAACAATGTGCGCTCTTTTGCACCTGGATCCATCTCCTCTCGGCCAGATCTGTCGCCAGGAGTGGGCCGGAATCTGTCGCGTGAAGGATAACGAAATAGCAGCTCTGGCAGGTTTGTGACAAATCTCCAAGAATGTGACGTATCTCTGGACACGTCTCTCCATCGTGTGCCCATGGTCCAACCTGGGGTTGCTTCCCCGTTGATGTGACCATGATGTGAAAGCCCCTCACATCGATCATCGATCTATTCACAAGAGAAACGACCTGATCCAGACAAAAAAAATTGATGGGATGTCGTTTTTCCGGTTGCGTCACCTGTGCGATCTGTGGAAGTGAGTAAACGCTGCCAAGATCTTGAAGCACCCGTTTTGATCGGTGTGCTTACATCTACTTGCTACAGCCTCTGTTCTACGACACGTATTAAAAAAACATATATATATATACATATAGTTAGAGAATGTTAGAGAGTTATAGAGAGTTGGTACTTTCATCTACCAAACCTTTTGCCTTCCTCCCCCTTGCCTCCTGTCAGCACCGGTCGTTCGCCCCGACCACCGACGGAGGCGCCCGCCGCCGTTGACCTTCCCCGCCAGGCGGTGCGCGTGGCGGCCGCCTCGGGGTCCACTGTGATCACCACGATCGCCAACGGCAGGCGGATCGAAGTCGTCCAGGCCATGCCCGGCGCAGCGAAGGGCGCGCGGGCGCGGGCTTTCGCCGTTGGGGCGGTCTTGTTGGGGATTGCGGGCGGTATAGGACCTCCTCGCCTTGGTGTTATTGTCTTATTTTCTTGCATTGGCGAAGGAAGCCCAAGATGGGGGGAGGTGCGAACTTGCTGGGTCACGAACTAGTGTTAAGCACGTCAGTCGTCGAAGAACACGGGCGACGCGAATCCCACGGCCCACGCCGACCGTGCGGGCACGGCGGGGCCCCGCGGTCGCTCTTCGGTCCAGTGCTGCGGTCGAGGCCATCCGCGGCGGTCGAGGCAAAATCTGGGGTCGCATCGCTTCACCTCCAGGTGGCCCCGGGTGGGTGCGCGTGCTGCACGTGCGCGTGCTGCACGTGCGCGTAGGGCACGTGCACCGTTTTTTTCTTTTTTAAATTCTGCGCAGCAGGTGGAGGTTTTGGTGAGGGGGGTTGAATTTGGCCGATTTTAGCCTTTGTTGGAGGCAATGGTTTGTGGCGGAGAGGGCCTTCCTGCAGCGCCAAACGGTTTTCATTCGCTTTCCTTCGACACCAAGATCGCAGTGGATGAAAACGTCGACGATCCAAAAAACAAGACCAAGTATATAAGGGCCTGGGGAACATGGTCACCTTGGAGGGTCCCCTATCCTGTTTGTACTATTTATCTACTCATACCAGGAGCATTGGTCTAAGTCCAGTTTGCCTTCCCCTTTTCCTTGAATTCCCTGAGTCTTTCTGATCCATCCACCATCCCACCATCCACCCTTCTTTCAGCCCGGATGGGGCGACCCGCAGACCTCGACGACCACTCTCGACTCGACCGATTCTGCGGAGGTTGGATCCTCTTGGCCGATCAACAAACCGGTTTTAAGGCGGTCGCCAAGGCCCCTCAGGATCGAGCCGAGAGATCGGCAGAGATAGCCGAGCCGAACTGAAGACGGAGTGTCCGGGGACGGGAAGAGGTGGGGCAGCGAGGGGGAGGAGGTTCCATGGGTTTTGAACCACATGTGGTGTCAATTTGGAGCAGGAAAGAGTTCAGAAGCGACAATGAGCGTTTGTTGCAGGTGAAAGAAGCTGTGACAAGCAAACCGCTGTGAAGACCGCATTTAAGCGGCTGGACCCTGAACAAGTGGGTGAGTGCCACAGGAGCCACACAGCTCAAAGGATCGTGTCTTGGAGTCTGGGTTGCAGGGTTGAATTAGATGTGGTTTCAGAGTAGATGGCACCAGGTGGACCCCCATCTGTCTAAGACATCTTTGGGTTTGTGCCATTTATTCTGAAACCACTGTAATTGAAAGAATTGAAGGACTCACTTTTTTAAAATACCTTTTTGCTTGCCCTGTTGGGGAGTTGTCGGACTTTTTCACACCTGGACCTAAGACTGGGACTGTATCCTTTGAGCTGCCATGTCACAGCTGAAGAGCGGCTGAAAAATGGGCAATCTCCTTGGTTCTTTGCCTTCTTGTGTGCGTTGAGAGGAAGCTTTGATGTGTCATTGTGTGTTGGTTTTGTGGTCAGATGTCCCCACCACGATATCTTCCACCGTAGAGTCCAAGAAAGGGTCTTTCAGAGGATATCTTTTGAACTCTCTACTCACAGCGCATCTTATCCGGACCACTATAGACACAAGTTTCCAGAAAACGCACGTGCAATTCTGCCATTTTCAGCTGCTGCTCCGGTTCAAGCCACCCATGTCTTGAGTTTTTACAAAATAAGTTCACCATTTTTTGTTGATTTCATCTACCTGGACTAGTCCTGCCGACTTGGTCGAAACACCCCGACTGGGTTGACAGAAAGGTTGGAGCGAGAGCGACAGAAGGAGTCCAAACACGAGGAACAGGAGTCTACCCGCCCTTCTGCGATCGAATAGAGATTGAAACGTTTTTGTCTTTGATCGGATCTTCCAAAACATGGCCATGGAGCTGCTTGTGCCGCAAAGTTTATCACTGAAGACAGCGCCATGCAGGAGTGATGCAAGATCGTATCATATCGTAGCTCGAAGTAGCCAGAAGTGGGAAGTTCTGGAATCATATGGAAGCAAGAGGGGTCAGGATGGGCTTCGGTGCACTCGCGTCAGATGTGTACTTGGTCTTCCCGGTCTAAACCAGGTGGCCAAGATTTCGCCGAAGCATTGATGCCCGTGGGGTGACCGGAGTCACCCTGGTCGAAAAAACGAGGTTCACTCTGGTGATCCATCGACGCCCCTGAGATGGATCCATCGAACCGGGGGAGTTGGTTGATCGCCCCTCCCGTCATGCAGACCTGGGGCGAGTCTTCATGTGCTTCTGGACCTGAAGAAAATCCAAACAAACCACCGCCCTACTCATGCCTACTCACTGAATGCGCGTTAAAAACAGGGTGTGCCGCTGTTTATGCTGCCAGGATGCACCTGGAAGGCAGCGTGAGCTCGAAGACGGCTCAGGTGAGGAAATGGTTGATCAGACACCTGGAGTTGTACATGATCAGTAAGACTCACCTGAGCCTTGCGCGTCTGATGTGGCTCCGAAATAGAAGACCTCCCAACCGTCAGGTTGCCTGTTCACTTCCTAGAGAGCTCAGAAAAACCCTCGTAGATCCTCGTAGCAACTTTCTCATGCTATGCTTATACTTCATGATTTGATGCATGCACGGATATCTTCTAAAAGTGGCTTTGTTTTTTTTGCAATTTTATTTGATGTATGTATGTATGTCCCATCTTTTGAGCACGTTCAATGGTCACCGGTCACAAAAACTTGTTTTTAGATGTTTTTTAGGGTGTGCTAACGTCCTTTGGGTGCTTGCGCTCTTCTTGGGTGGGCTGTCGATTCTGCTTTCATAAAACATTGAGCCTTGCTGATCATGGAGCCTGGGCAGGCTGCCCTTGACAGATCGTCCTCCAATTCTACCGCCGACGGCCCCAGACGATTCGACACCGGACGATTCGACCGCTGCATTGACGGATGATGTGGGGACCAGGATGTGGGGACCGCACGAGTATGGCATTGTCCGGTCTTTTCTCTCGAGGCGTGTGCCCTCCTTACCCTTTGCCTCTTGTTTGTCCGAGTACCATTCAGGATCACACGGTGAAAGTAGGGATTTCCAACCGCGAAGGTCTTGCGGTGAAGGGTGAAAGTGACACGGAAAAAAGGGGCGAAACTCCCCAACGGTTTGTAAACCGGCCAGAGATGGTTCAATGGTTCAGGGGCAGCCCCAGCTGGCAAGAAGATTGCCCATTCCTGCAATGAGGTTGGATGGCGGGCTCCTCTGGCTGCAGCCTTCGTTGCAGCCCTTGCACAAGGCCAGGCTTAGAAATCAGAGTGCCCAAGGTATTGAACACAACTGCAACTGACCAGGTTGCCACATGGACGCGCCTAAAACTAAAAACTGCAAAATGAAGCTTCCCTGACTGGGATTCGTACTGTAGGACATCAATTTAAGTCTTCTTTTTACATTTTGACGTCTCATGGAGTTGGAAGACCCATGAACTCCATTCAAAACCACGCCCCTCTTCATCGGCCACGCTGCGATGCCACCAGCGTTGACGCCGCGACCGCGATGCCTCGGACGGTGTGCGCCCAGGTGGCAGATCAAAGCGAGGTCGCACCCGCAGTCTCTGCCAGGTGCGAGGGTTGGGGCGAAAAGGAGCGGATCCATAAAATTCCATAAAGCCTATAGTTCCATGGATTTACCCAGAAACCGTTGGACGGTTTGCCTGTTTGGTCAGACCGGTTTCAGGCCCAAACGCGACGTTCTGAAAACCATCTTGGACCATCCACGTTCTGAGTCTGGAGACAGGAAATGCGAAGTCAAAATTACAATTCAGTGGCCAAAGATGGGCAAAGGAGTGGACGAAAGCTCCCAGTTTTGCTTTGAGACTACCGACTTTGACTCATACTTCGACCGTATTGTTGGCTCTTGCACAAGGCAAAAGCCATGGAACCTTTGAGACACTTTGATATGACTTGTAATGAACATTGCGAGCTTATCGCGGCCCGCTATTTCTCGATCAGCCAGCCAGCCGGCCGGCCGGCCGGCCGGCCAAGATCCACGGTCCAGCCAGCCGGCCGGCCGGCCGGCCAAGATCCACAGCCCAGCCGGCCGGCCGGCCGGCTGATCAACGACCGTCGGCTACTACTACTACTAC